AAAAATAAGTCTTAGTTATACAATATTGAACAAGAAAAAACATTTAGAGAAAGATATGTTTGCAGGGTGCACGATTTTTCTTTCTTACAACGAAAAGTATAAGAAAGGAAAACTAACAAAAATTCAAGCGATTTATGAATTTTCTTTATTGAATATTTTATTTTTTGTGCTTGTCATAAAATTATAGTACGTGAGAATCCTTTCAGTTAAAAAGCTTGGCAAAAATGTTAAATTACATATGCGATAGGTTAACCTAAGGATAAGAATACCATAGAGTGACAAAAACTTTTCCAAACTAATAACGTGAATCAGAGCAAAGGGTTACTTTTAGGAAAGAATTTTCTCAAAGTTACAAAACGGAAGTATTTCAATGTTCGAACGTACCATAAATATATTCGAACTCGTAAAAATTGAATATATTGTCAAGAATATTCATTTATAAAGAAGCAATAAATTAAAAAAATTTTTCGAGATAAAGGAAAATATTCTGACACTTGATTTACAAAAATTTTCCAAAGGTAAGTAATGGTGGAGAGATGCTTTCAAAATGATCACACAAAAAAAGGGTTTTTCAAAGCTCTAAAATATGATGTATGTAACTAAAAAAAGTTTTTATCGACTCTCACTCTGTGAATTTTTCGAGAAAATCTTTTCATGTCTTATAAAAGGAAGGAAACTGGAAGGAATCGATCGGTAAAATTGTGAAAATTTACTAGTCGATGACGTAACCAGAAATTTTCACCGATTCTGCTTTTTGGGAGGGGGAATTTTTTTGAATATTATTGGTGTATAAATAGTGTGTAGTGAGAAAGTTAAGGGCTATTTCTACGTCGAGACTCTGTCAAGAGTTGTTTTGCGCTAGAAATTTTAAAGTATCGAAGTTTCGTTAACAGTAAAAATGGCGCTTCGCGAATTACTTACGAAATTTATCACCATCGCTTGCAACTTAAACGGAAAGCTAGTGGTAGTTGATTATCTGTCAAAGTTGACAGATAATGATGAAATTAATTATTCGGTTTTCGGGGATTTCGCGGGGAGGTGCTCCAGTACATTACTTTGTGTTATGTACAAGCTGGGGCATTGTGGCGGTGATGTGAGATTGAGGAGTATCATCTCGGGACATTTGGAAGTGCGTGACTTCTACGACCACGAAGAAGATGATGTCGGAGGCTACATAGCCGACTTCAAGCAACGCATTGCAGTAAGAGGTAAGCAGTAATATAATTTTTAAAAATCAAATATAAAATTTCACTAAAAATTTGTTT